GTCACATCCACGCGGTTATGTGGAGAGATGCTGCCTCATAAGTAAGTAAGTATACACTAAGTGTGGGGAGTGAAGGGGTAAGCGAATAAGTTCCTGAGCTTGAAAAGAGTAGAGGTTGAGAATTCAAGTAAGTTGACTTAGGGTAATTGGGCTTTCATGGCAGTTAATTCACCATCCCTAATTCATTTAAGTCAGTGAAAGACTGCCATGTAGAAAGGCAGAAAATGAGTTTGACTTTGGAATCACTTTCTAATATGTGGGGCTGGGACTTAGTTCCCAGCCCATAGCCTCCCACATGCTAGGAAAATGCTAGGAAGCATACTGTCAAAGAACCTTAACTTCGATTACTTTTGTATAGCAGTAACATTTCCTGACTCCGTAGCTAACTCATTGAATTTTGCCATATGCCTGTTAAGCCCTGCTAACTCAGTGTGGTCCCAGAACAGCAGCACTGGCTCCTCCTCTGGCATCTTGTGGATAAAGAATGTTTGTTGGGCACGTGGGAAGAGCACCTGTACTAAACGGTGGCTTCTGTAGCCTTTGACTTTGGAAAGCATTCAAATAAGATGCACACCGGCCACTGTTAAAATGGACCTGTGGTAAATATGGCTACACTGCCAAGCAGAAAGTAGAACTAGAGTCAGAATGCCAAGAAAGAGAGACACTTTTAAACTCCTGAATAAGAATCTTGCTTTAACAAGACCTCGAAATCATTTCTCGAAATGATTACACTTTAAGGTTGAAAAGCACTATTAATAGGTACCATGCTGCAAGGTAGTGATGGCTCACACCTTTAAGCCTAATACGCGGGAGGCAGAGGTAGGTGGCCTTCTGTGAGTTCCAGTACAGCCAGGGCTGCACAAAGAAACCCTGCCTTGACCCCTCCCCCCCAGTAGCTAATAACTAGATATAAAGAAAGTATAATACTACACAACAGTAATAAATAGGAGCAGACAAATAAGAGACAGGAATGGTCAACGAATGTATACAAATTCAAACTAAAAGGCCAGAGGTCGAAGGTCTGTAAACAGAGGCGTGGATATGCTCACAGCTGTTTGCTGTCACCTCTGACGCAGCCAGCCATATGGTGTGTGATGACTTTAGCACGGCCACCATGTTCATGGGCTTCCAGAAGTCTGAACGGTATTCATCCTAGGGAAAAGACCACTATTGGCACAGGCAGGAGAGTGGAGGAGGATGCACTGGAGGAGGCTTTGACCATCTTGGTGATGTTTTATGGAAAAGGTGAAACAAAGGTCAAAATGCCACAGTGTGTTAAAGCATGGTGGTGTGTGCATGGGTCTTCATATTGTACTAAATATGCCCTCGTATGTTTGAAATGAAAGGTGTGGTAAACTTTAACACCTGAAGTGTTGGGCATAACGATGAGCTGAATGAACAGCCAGGTCAGTTTTCTGCCAAGGAGTCCAGTTGAATGGTTACTTCCACTCAGTGGCTCCCAACTCCTTACAAGGCCCCACAAGGATCCACCTACCCTTCTTGCCCCTCTGTTGGGTCTTTGCTCCCGAGTCCTGCCCCACTGCATGCTTTTGCCCCTCACAAGATCCAAGCTTTATTTTTCTTTGAGAGCCTTCCTTTTGAATTTCCACTGTCTCCCTCTTGGGCAACCTAGGAGAGTGTTTAAATGGTACCCGATTCTCCTTTAATTTTGCTATTGATCTAGTGGTTGTAGTGAAAACTGATTCATTGGCTCACTAGGGCCATCTTCCTGGCGTTTGAAGGGTGTCTGTGGGCCATAACACTCTAACTTTGTCATTGCCTGGTGTTGATTCATCCCTGCAATCGTGGTCATCTATTTGTCTATTTGTTCATGGCACTCCTTACGTGATCAGATCAGACTGAATTCTAGAAAGCAATTACCAATTTGTCAAGGTGCTGAATTAATTGTGGCCAATTTCTTTTAAAAAGAAGCTTAATCATCATTTTAGGAAAGTAGAAAGCCCGTCTCAAAAATCCAAGGGGGTGTCGGGGTGGCAAGCTAACATTGCTGCAGTGTCACATGTGGCCACTAGGTGGCACTATTTCCTAAAATTTCATATACTTATGCTGTTCAGACTGCTGTAATTTTTTTGTTTATGTTTTGTTTTGTTTTGTTTGTTTGAGACAGGGTTTCTCTTTGTAACATTCACCGTACTGGAACAAACTCTGTAAATTATACTGGCCTTAAATCAGAGATCCAACTGCCTCTGCCTCCCTAGGGCTGGATCAAAGGCATGCACCATCATGTGCAGCCTTTGTTTTATTTTGTTGTAACTAATCTTCTTAAATTGACAAAACATTAAAAGATTAAAAATGTGACATATAATGTACACATTCTGCCTGATACAATATTTTGGAGAAAAAGATTTTAAAATTTCACCATTAAAGTAAAAAAAAAAAAAAATTAGAACAAACAACACAAAACAGACAAAAACCCTGAAACAACAGATTACTCTACAAGTCCAGGTAAATATTTGCAAATAACATCACACAGTTTGTGCTATAGGTTGGGATGAAGCTACAGTAAAAATAAGTAAGTCAAACTGGAAAACACTTGCTTTACACTGTGTGTGTGTGTGTGTGTGTGTGTGTGTGTGTGTGTGTTTCAGGAAGCACGCTCATTAAAGAGACGTGAAAAACACAGCAAGGATGGCATCATTTTATAATGATATAAATAAACTACTGAACTGTCAGCCTATTAAACATCATCAAAGACATCCCCGTCAGGGCCACTGGTAAAAATGAACTTCCTGCTTCTTTCCTTTAGGATAAACAAATCTATAAATTGAGACTTCAGGCCTACAGCTACAGGGAGTCCTTGGCAAGAGCAGCAGGACAGCAGCAGTGGCAAGTACCTCCAGCCTCCGGCGCCTCAGACGAAGCAGTGCTTGTCCTGGCTCCTGCCTTTCTAAGTAAGGCTGCAGGACTGTGGCGGGAGTACTGTCTCCATCTCCAGGTTTTTGTGGCAGTTTTCCTAGCTTGGGTCAAGCCAAACATCCTTATTTCTACCTCTCAGCTGACGAATCAGCCTGTTGGCCTCCCTCGGTCCTCAGGAGGAACCAGAGGTTCCTGTTTCAAATTACCTGGGATTGTGGGTGTGTGGAATACTCAGAGAAATGAGAAATCAGCACGGGGAGAGATACCTCATCAAAGCTCGAGGTGGGCAGGACTGGCTGGGTATCCTCCTTCGCCATTGCTGTGTCTGTGTTTTGCACAACTTTTAACTAGTATTTACAACAATTTAAAAACCCTTAACACCTTTTGGCCCAAAGCCAGGTTTACAGCTACCTGTGACACTGCAACATTGGAATCTGGAGTGAGTGCCTCCTGCTCTCATGCCCATGCTGTCTGGGCGACTGCACCTGTGCTGAATTGTCTCTATAGCCTTGGACTTGCCCAATTGAGATTTCAAGAAAGGCCTTAGATGGTTCCTTTAGAAACACCAAGTTTCTCTGGTTGTTTTGGTCTCATCTGCAGAAGCAAGATGCCAAAGGGGATGCCATTGTTTGGAAAGCATCGAAATAACAGGCAGGTGCCATTGTTGTGGCTCTTAAGGCCTTACAGCATCTTCAGGAGTAGACCTGTGGTAAACATGGCTACCCTACCCTGCAAGCACAGGAGAAAGTAGAGCTAGAGTGCCAGGGCTGGGCTAAAGGGGAACTTAAAATTGTGATAGATTCACACTTGGCCTCCTAGAAGGAACAACAGCTAAAGCCAAGCAGGAGGCTGCTTCAAAGCACCAGCTTATCGCGAGGACTTCATTGTTCTCTTGTAAAACAAATGATCTGCTTCCAAAAGAGCCAGCAAGAAGAACACGAGAGAAATATCAAACTTCACCTAGCATGGATGGAAGGTGAAGGGAAAGACAGTGTTGGGGTTAAAAACACGTGATTCAACAAAGTGTCCAACAGAAATAGTAGCATAAAGCTTTCCAGCCTGGCAACAAGGCACTGAACAGTGCCATGGCTTCCTGCTGCTTTCTGATGACTTGTAGGGAATGGGGGAGCATGCTCTGCACTTTGTTCTACTTCCTATTCTGAGAAGAACCTTTCCCACCTCCTGCCTAGCTGGCTTTCTCTCGGGGTGAGAAACATGTAGTAGTATCAAGATCGGAACTAGAACGCACTGTTCCAAATCCTGTCACAACACAAAAGAAAACCAATGGGGCTGTTTCAGGTTCCTAAGTACAGCGTGTAATAACTACACTAACTTGTTAGGGGTGGAGAAAGTGAAGAAAGACAAAGGTTATTTGGACATTCTCACTGAACCATAAGGAATGTGTCCTGTGTGTGGCAACTCACTGAGCTGGTCTGTGCCTCAGCCCTTTGTCAGTGGACATGGACACCCACCAAGAGGAGATTTCGCTGTCAGAAGAAGAGCAAATCTTAAGGGCTTGTGGGCAGAGCCAAAAAAAGGTCACTATCTCTTCCTGGCCTTCCCAAGTTACTTTGGAGAGCTTTTGTGCCTGGCACAATGAACTGTCAGAGCCACCCGGTCTTCAAAACTACACACCAAAGCCTCAACATTTTAAGATACTAAGTTTACTGCAGGCAAACCCAATAACTGAGCTAGAGAAATGGCTCTATGGTTAAGAGCATTTGCTGCTCTTCCATTGGACCTCAGTTTCAATTCCCAGCCCCGCATCAGGTGGCTCAGAACTACCTGTAACTCCTTCTCAAGGGAATATGACACCCACTTCTGCCCTCAGGGGGCACTGATTACATATGTACACTAATATGTTTGCACATAATTTAAATAGAACCTGGGAGTGGCAGTGCATATCCTTAATCCCAACACTCAGGATTTCTGTTAGTGTGAGGCTATTTTGGTCTACATAGTTCCAGGACAGCCAAGGCTATACAGAGAAACTCTCTCAAAAAATAGTTTTGTTTCTTAAGAGAAAACCAAGTAACTGACTTTTAATGACTGACAATATGTCAGGCCTAGACCTAAGCTCACTGTACGATCTTGAAATGATCTCACTCCCACCACAGGACTGTCTGGAGCGCCTGCCCATCATTGGCTTTTCGCTGAGGAGCGCCCTGTAATGAGCCCCGTGGGCAGATGAGCACATGCCATGGATACTGTACTTAGCTGTCTTCCTAGTGACATAAGAGGACACCCACAAATATTTGCTGCTTCAGGTAAAACAAACTGGAAAACCCCCAAAGACCATTTGGGAAGGGTGTGGCTGTGTTCTACAAGCTCCTGGACACTACAGGCGAGGTCAGGAAAGCCGCACACCACACAAAGGCTGTCAAAGATTCAGGAAAGTCTGGGAGAAAAATGTACATTCATTTTTTTGGAGGGAGAGAGTCAAGGTCTCACTCTGTAACCCTGGCTGGCCTGGAATTAGCTATGTAGACCAGGCTGGGTTCAAACTCACAGAGGCCTGCCTCTGCCTCCTGAGTGCTCAGATGAATGCCAGGTGCCACTCTCTCCTTCACGGGGTCACATCTTTGAAGATGCTGCCTGGTGGTAGAGGCGGCCCAGAGAGCAGCATCCTTGCCTGTGGAAATGTGAGTTGAAGAGACAAGTGGACTCTGCACTGGAAAAAGCTTCTCCCTCCTTGTTTCTTTCCCTCAAGACCAGGTCTTCAGTTTCGCTGTAAGTGCAGTCTTGCTCTGCTCTCACAGCTGACAGAGCTCTCTCTACCTTAGCTTCCTCAGTAGTGGAGACTGCGACTACGGTGTACCACCATGCTCTCAACAGCCCCCTTCTCCTCTTGTCACACTCCATGCTCTGGGTGGACTGCAGCTCATGATGTAGACGAGGCTGGCCTTAAACCCCAGAGACCCATCCTCCTCCCAAGTGCTGGGGTAAAGGACACGTGCTGCCACAGCCAGCCGTTAGTTTACATTTCAAAGTAAGTTTGACCGTTTCCTAACGGAAGGGTCTGAAATGTGACACATTCCAAAGTCCGAAACTTACTAAATGCTGGTGTGATGTCATCAGTGGAAAATTCCACACGTGAAAAAGTTGTTTTATATATAATATCCCTTAAAATAGTATACAAATATTATTACCTTAAATTTATGTATGTGTGGTATGTATGGATGTGCTTAAACTTTCATTTCCTCCCTAGGATCTCTCATTAAGTATATGACCTATCCCAAAATCTGAAAACGTTCTGAAATTCTGACCACTTTTGGTTCCAAGCTTTTCAGGTAAGGGACATGTGACTTGTTTTCTCCCATATATATCTATATAAGTGTGATATGATGTATCTATATGTAAATTAAACCTTAATAAGAATTTTATCCAGTCTTGGTGATGCAGAATGGTTAACCAGGCTACTTGAGAGGTGAGGCAAAAGAAGTTAAAACATAAGACCTGCCTAGAAAACTTTTATGGAGGGGTGTGGGGGAGGGGAAAGCTTCAAGACAGGGTTTCTCTGTGTCACCCTGGCTGCCCTGGAACTCACTCTGTAGACCAGACTGGCCCTCAAACACAGAGATCTGACCACCTCTATCCACTCAGTGCTGGGATTAAAAGCATATACCACCACTGCCCAAAGCCCAGGACGCTTACTAAGCCCCTGTTTTGTAATAACATGTAAAAGGATGACTGGAGGCATGTGTAGTTTAGTGATAGAGCTCTTTCCTAGCGGGCACAAGGTTATATGTTCAATTCCAAGTACCAGTCCCAGAGTATGGAGGGATTTTAATGTTACACATAGCAAAAACCTGAAGCAAGAAATGATTGTCGTTGTCATAGTATCAGTTGATGGTATCTTTCCTGTGTCATAGGACGTGAACATAACCTAAAATTGACTGTGTATTATTTGTTTTCTTTTGTGTATTCAAGATAGGGTCTTACCATGTAACTCAGCCTGACCTTGAACTCAGGAACCAGTCCAGGTTGGTCTGGAGCTCTGCCATTCTGCTTTCCCTTTCCAAGTGCTGAGCACCATACATGTGCCTCCAAGCCTGGCTCAAGGTGCCCAGAATCTTACAATCAACAGTGTTTTAGACTTGTCAGCATGTAGCATGTAAAAAGTTAGTTCTACAGTCAGGGAAACTGGAACTTAGGAAGGTTATGCATTGATATCAGGTTGACCAGCTAATAGGTAAGATGTGATAAAGCAGCCTGGCCCCTGGGCGTGGGTCTGAAGGGCTGTGGTGTGTGTACCGTGCCTGGTTTTATATTGTGCTGGCTAGGCTTCCCGGCCTTAACCTGCTGCTTTTCTGCTCATTTCCAGATCTTGGTTCCTCAGCCTACCCGGAGCTCTTGACAAGTTCAGAGCATGCTTTCCTCCTCATTGCTGGGATCCATTTCTGTTTCAAGGAAGACACCAGGTACAATGAGACGAAGGACCCTTACAGGGATTCAATACGGGGAGAACAGATGAGCTCTGTGGGCAGAGGGAGAGACCCAGAGCCCGATGGGCACCTTGTTCTCATAACGCTGAGGCGGCACCCTTGAGGCTTCTATGTCTTCTGCATGTGTAATGGTTCCTGCTCTTCAGCCAGGTGAGCACTGCTGTGGAGATGGAAGGGTTAGGCCATAACGGTACCCAGTGGCATTATTCACCTTTAGAGCACTGGGAGGGAGCTTTTCTCTGTACTGAAGACACTTGGAAGTTTATTTGCTTAATCCATTTTCCCCATCCTGCCAAGCCCATACCTGGCACTAAGTAAGTGCTCAGAACTCATGCTGATTTGAAGCTTTCCAGCCTGGAGGATCCTTGCACTATACTCTTACTTTACAAAAGATACTGAATGGTGTGTCGGGAAGGACCACGTCCCTGTTCCCCCTCAGCTAGGAAGGGGCTGCCAGCACTGCGACTGCATCACTTCGAGCGTTCCCATTTCTGTCTCAGGGCCAGCATCTCTGTGTCTCATATGTCCTTCCAAGAGAGACTCTGGAGCCACCTTATCACACCAGGATGCATGACTTGTAAGAGTTAATTCACAGTGCTTCAGCCATGGTCGGAGAGTGTCTGAGTTGCTAAGCAACAGATGAAGGCATGCATCCCAGGAGGGAAGGTGGGCAAAGCCCAGGAGCCGCTCAGGAGGGGCCGCAAGTGTGAGGGGTAAGCTTGTGACTAGACTGATGTGTCACCCAAGTGGCAGTCACTGCTTAAAAGCAAATATCGGTGTGACTCTTAGCTTTGTACCCAAACCTGTCTCCTGCGCTTTCTGCCTTCCTCATAGAGACACCTACCTGGTTGGGCTTCTGAACGGAGACCCTGAAAATGGAGCACTCTCTCAGGATGTAGTGCTGACTTGGATGTGGAAGGGGTCTGGTACCAGGTATGGTTCTGGTTGTTTTGTCAAGGTAGGGTGAGGGCTGCAGGCTGGCTTTCCCTGCCCTAGGAACACACTCCCTTCCATGTAAACAGGATAACTGGTATCATCAGTGTAAACCAATTACAGTCTCATTTCGGGCTTCTCCCCTTGTTGGCTGTTTTGAACATGGCTTTTAGAGGGGCTGCTGCAGAAACTGCGTGTCTTCTTTCCTCCGGCGTCTAGTACCTCAGGATGCTTAGGGCTTCATACTCACTTGACAGCCTTCATCCGACACTTGGAAATGTGAATTGGTGGCTGCGGTTGGGACCATAGCAAAGTACAGAAAACTGGCCTAGAATGTTTGAGGCTCTGGGTTAAATTCTCAGCACCACAAAAAAACAAAAACAAAAACAAAACAAAAAAAAAACAACAACAGCAAAAAACAAAAAACCCTCTTGTGTTTTAAAAATTTATTTTAAGGTAACCACCCTTTTTGGTTTGTTTTCTTTTCTCTCTCTTGTATCTCCCTACTTTTCTCTTGCTATATAGCCAGGTGCTCCTTGTACTCACAGCCACTGTCTTGCTTCGGCTTCCTGAATGCTGGGACCACAGGTGTGAGTCACCATGCCTGGCCGCTTCCTCGGTTTGCCTGCACTTAACCTATCTAGAAATCAAAAGGAGGTCCATTTAAAGACAAAAAGACAGTCCTGTACAAATGGTTTTATTTCTCTCTCTGCCTATTTGGTTGGTGTCAAGATGACAAGTGGCTGGTAGGTGTGGGGTCTGTGTGGGAAGTCTCCGACATGGCTGCACTGAGAATGTTTATTGTGGAGAGGGAACTTTTGCCCCGTGAAGTCACCTCCTCCGAGACACCAGTAGCTTTCTGATATTCTATCACAGGAAATTCCTGGTGGTCCACAGAAAGCGGTCCTGGGAGTGCAGCTGCAGGGAGAGACATAATGGCTGAGAGAGACAAGTCTGGGCGTGCTGTAAGAGGAGCTGAGCACCTGGGCCCTGGAGGAGGCAAGTGGGAGGACTCTAACAATGTCAGAATGATCCGAGGGTCAAAGGTCAATAGCATTCTTATGTAATGCCCTCCACCAGAGGATGCTAGAGAGCGTCTGTTGTCTCCTAACAATGTAGTACAAATTATGTTGATTTTAATCTTTTTTTCTTGGCAAGATTGTATTTTGATACATCTTTTTGAAAAATCATTTAGTCTGGTGCACACCTTTGATCCTAGCACTTTGGAGGCAGAGGCAGGTGGATTTCTATGTGTTTGAGGCCGGCCTGGTCTACAAAGTGAGTTCCAGGATAGTCAGGGCTGCTACACAAAGAAACCCTGTCCTGAAAACCCAACAATAAACAAACAAACAAACAAACAAATAAAACCCAACCAAACAGAATCTATTTAATTTTATGTGTGTTTTGTCCATTTGTATTCTGTGTATCTTTCGGTACCATGAATGCACTTGGTGCCCAAGAAGGTTAAAAGAGGGCAGATGCCCTAGACATAGAGCTACATGTGGTTTCGAACTGTCATGTGGAGCTGAGAGATGGGTCTTCTGGAGGAACAGCCAGTGTCCTTCCCTGCTGAGCCACCTCTTCAGCTCCTGAACTGAGCATTTCTGAAGCTGTGAAACCAAACCCTTAAGTGACTCAATGGGAACTCAGTATTTATCATTAATACCACACTCCAAAGTTTGGATAAGACAGTGACATGCAAGAAGTATCTAACTAACTAACTAACTAACTAACTAACTAACTAACTAACTAACTAACTAACTAACTAACTAACTAATCAACCAACCAACCAACCAATTAAGTAAGTAAGTAATTAAAATTTCAGGGCTGGGAACCAAATCCTGGGCCTCACACATGCTCGGTAAGTCATTATTCTACAGTTGAAGGGATCCTTCACCTAAACCACCAAATTGTGAATGAATGAAAACCATTTCACACAAGTGATTTTCACTGAAAACACTGACAGGACCCAAATACTTTATAGACAGTTTTGTAGCAAGCCTGTTGGTGGTCGCCCAAGTCCATTAGCTAACGGCCCAAGTCTCCTGATTCTCTGGCCTCGAGATACTGTGATGGCTCGTCTTTCCATGTCTTTGCCCAAGGAGGAGCAGACCCTGCCTGCCAAATTGTCTGGGGGTAGGATCTGGATCAAGCCGTGTGTCCTTAGCATGTGTCTTCAGGGCATGCCGAGGACTGGTAGACGCTCTTTCTTGCTCTTTCACAGGAGCGTCCAGCTACCTCTCTGTCTGGAATATAACAATGGGAAAGAGCAATGCCAGTCGAGATCAGCTCAGGACGAAGTAGAGGTTACACTCTCTACGGCAACGATAATCCATTGTTGTAGGTAGCGTCTGGCTTTTCCGAAAAAATTACTTCAGTAACTGTCTTTTCTTGAGGCCCATGTAACAGAAAAGTTAGAACAAGTCTAGAATTTGTATTGAGACTTTGCATGAGTGTGTGTGTGTGTGTGTGTGTGTGTGTGCATGCGCATGCATGGACATGTGTGTCCAGGCACGTGGTGGCTTGGGGACAACCTCAATTGTTCCTCATGCACTGTCCCACCTTGGTTTTTTAAGACATCGTGGGTTTTTGACCATCCTCAAAATCACCAAGTCTGCTGGTTGGCCCGACAGCGGGCTGTGGGGAACTCCTGGCCTCAGCCTCCAGAGTTCAATAGCTCACCTGACTTGGCCCCTGCAGAACATCTCTCCTTCTCCAAATTTTTGCCAGCCTTCTCTGTGTACTCTTCTCCCCTGGGTTTTGACTTTTGGAGTTCTGTGTCAATTCTGCATTACACAATTGAGTCCAGAAAAATAGGTTTAGCCAGCTTCTCCCTCCCTCCACATCTGGTCACGGGCCACCCTTCGCATGTGAGGTCTGTTCTCCCTTGCTCATCTCCAGCAGGACTGTGGCCATTCCTCTTTGGTCAGGACCCCTCTTTCCAAACGCTGATGTTTGCTCTTAATAACTCCCATTTACTGCCTCCACCCTGCCCTTGGAATATGCCCCCTTTCCCTTGATGTGCTGAATGGACCCCAGCTCTCCCCTGAGGTCTTTTCTTCCCATTGCTTCCATACTGACTGAATTGTGTTTTTATTCACCACCGTCCCTAACTTAAGTTTTCTGTGAAATACCCTAAAGACAGTAAGATTCATGTCTTAGAACTTCCAGAATAAGGGTGGCTTACAGGGATGCATAGGTGTCTGGGCATAAGTCTAGGGCTACCAACTTCTCAGGGGCCACAGCAGTTCTGGAGTCAAGAGGAGAAGTTCATCCGTGTCTGCGGCCTTCTCCTGGCAGCCTGTATTTTCCAGTCACACACCTCCCACCAGCCGTAACAATTCGTGGAAATTAATAAATTCATTTATTGGGAGAGGTCATGGGTAAGACAGGAAGACCAGGCCCCAGCTTCCCAACAAGAGCCAGTGGCAGTCTTCACAGAGCTGATTATTTGCAGCCAACAGAAGTGGTTTGAGTTCTCAAGCAGCTCTGCTGGGTTAAGTGCAGTTCTTAGGTTTGTTAACAAATGTCTGTCTTGCAGAATAATAAATCCCAGAGGTTGTGTAAGGGGAGGAGAGTGAGTTCATGGTCCTGCCTTTTCTCTCAGACTGTGGCCACAGAGGAGTGGACTTATTTTTGCTGAAAGCTGACCCACACTTCAGTGTGGGAAAGAGCAGTGCTTTGCCAAGTGGCACTGCTAGAGGAAGTGGGTATACACACTCAGAAGAAGGGAATCAAACCTCGGACACAGAGTCCATGCAGAGTGTTAGGGCAAAACCCATCAGCTTTTCATAGAAAATGCACAAGTCGCAGCTCACTCACGACACCAAAGCATAAGCACAGAGGAAAGTTGGTAAGTAAAACTTAAAATGTAAAAATGTAAGTCATTTGCAGTGTAAATCAGGAAAGTGAAAAGGTAGATTACAGAATGGGAGAAAATATTATATTTACAAATCAAGTATCTTATAAGAAGCTGACATCCATAACACGTGAGGAACTCTCATCAGCAAACAATAACAATGAAAACTGGGGGGGGGGGGCGAGGTTGAACAGACTCATGTCAAAAGACCTACAGATGGCCAATAAACAACGGAAGATGCCCCTTGTTAGCCGTTAGAGAGTTAGGAGTCAACCCCCCCCCCCTCCCAGCCCTCCAGAGTGACAACTGTCCTAGAGGCAACCTAAGGGCAAGGAGGGCCCTTGATCTCCC